AAAAAAAACAGTCAAAGAACTTATGAAACAAAAAGTTGGTTCTTTGAAAATAAATAAAATTGATAAATAGCCAAGCTAATGAAGAGGGAGAGAAAATTCATATTACTAAATTTGGTGATGAAAAAGAAAAATATCACAATGGATACTACTGAAATATAGATAATAATCAGAAACTATTTTGAAAATTTATACTTTAATAAAATAAAAAATCTTAAAGACATCAACAAATTTCTAGATACATACGTCCTACCCAAATTAAATCAGAAAGACATAGAAAAATTAAACATACCATTTTCAAGCAATGAAACAGAAGACACCATCAAAAGGCTACCAACAGAGAAAAGCGCAGGACCAAACAGAATCTCAGCTGAGTTCTACCAGACATTCAAACAACTACTAACACCAATCCTCCTCAAATTAGTCCATGAAATAAAAAAGGAGGGAACTCTTCTAAATTCAATGAAGCTAGTATCACCCAGATACCAAAACCAGACAAAGATATATAAAAGAAAGAAAACTTCAGATCAATATCCCTAATGAATATATATATATTCATAGTAAAAATACTGTCAAAAACATACAAAAACATATTAAAAAGATAGTGCACCATGATCAAGTGGGGTCCATCCTAGGAATGCAAGATTGTTTTAACAGAGAAATCAATAAATATAATTCATCACATCAATAAAGACAAGAATTGCATGATTACGTCAACAGATGCACAAAAAGCATTTGACAAAATACAGCATCTATTCATGTTCAAACACTAGAAAAACTAGGGATGGTAAAAATGTACCTCAACATTGTAAAAGCTATATATGCTAAATTCAAGACCAACATCATTTTAAATGAAGAAAACTTGGAAAACATTCCCTCTAAAAACTACAAGAAGACAGGGTGCCTTGTTTCACCACTTCTATTCAACATAGTCCTTGAAAGTCTAGCCAGAACAATTACACAGAAAAAAAGAAATTAAAGGGATACAAATAGGAAAAGCATTGCATGCACAAGGTCCTGTGTTCAATCCCCAGCACCACACACAAAAAAAAAAATAAATAGGAAAAGAAGAACTCAAACTCCCCCTATTTGCAATGACATGATTCTATATTTAGAAGACCCAAGAAAATTAACCAGAATTTCTAGAACTAATAAATAAATTCAGCTAAGTAGCATGATATAAAATTAATACCGTAAATCAATGCCATTCCTATACATTAGTTATGAATTAGCTGAAAGAGATATTATGAAAACTTTCCCATTCACAATATCCTCAAAAAATAAAATAAAATACTTGGGAATCAATATAACAAAAAAGGTAAAAGACCTCTAAAATTAAAACTACAGAACACTAAAGAAAGAAATTAAAGAAGACCTTAGAAGATGGAAAGGTCTCCTATGTTATCAGATAGAATTAATATTTTCAAAATAGCCATACTACCAAAAGCATTATACAGGTTTAATGCAATTCCTGTTAAAATTCCCATGATGTGCTTCACAGAAATAGAAAAAGCAGGGCTTGGGTTGTAGCTCAGTGGTAGACTGCTTGCCTAGTATGTGTGAGGCACTGGGTTCAATCCTCAGCACCACATAAAAATAAATAAAAATATTGTGTCCATCTATAACTAAAAATATTTAAAAAGAAATAGAAAGAGAAATCATAAAATTCATTTGGAAAAATAAGAGGCCCAGAATAGTCAAAGAAATCCTTAGTGAAAAACTTGTGAGGCATCACAATAATAGACCTTAAATTATACTACTGAACTATAGTAACAAAAATGGCATGGTATTGACACTAAAACAGACAAGAAAACCAATGATGCAGAATAGAAAACACAGAAACAAATGCACATAAATACAGCTATCTCACACTAGATGAAGACACCATAAACATATATTGGACAAAAAATAGACTCTTCAATAAATGGTGCTGGGAAAACTGGAAATCCATATATAGCAAAATGAAATTAAAACCCTCTCTGTCACCCTGCAGAAAACTCAAATTGTATCAAAGACCTAGGCATTAGACAAGAGATCCTGCACCTATTAGAAGAAAAGAGATCCAACTCTCCCTCATGTCAGCTTAGGAACCAAATTCCTCAACAAGACACCTAAAGCACAA